CCCCCCCCCCTTGCTCGGCCCCACTGTACACAGTTAGGTTTGCCCAGCAGGGTTCCACAGGGGGCCCTTGGACACAGACCAGGAGCCACCTTAGGGGTCCTCCCGTCTCCTGACCCATCCTGACCTCCAGCCTTGGTGCTACCTGCCCAGGAATCCTGTGGAACCTCTCGTCCAGTGACCACCTGAAGGACCGGCTGGCCCGCGACACACTGGAGCAGCTCACTGACCTGGTACTGAGCCCCCTCTCAGGGGCTGGGGGACCACCCCTCATCCAGCAGAATGCCTCTGAGGCTGAGATCTTCTACAACGCTACAGGTTTCCTCAGGTGAGCAGACTGCTTAGGGGGCCAGGGCTGGAACCCGAACTGCAGGGAGGAACTCGGCCTGGGCTAAGGGGGCACCAGCAAGGAAGCTCAGAAAGAGGGGTTTCAGCTGAGACCCCGGAGTGGGCTCAGTCTGGGGCCCTTTTGGAGTTCCCTGTATCTGGGGTCCCTGTGAGGTGGGCTCTGTCCAGGGTCCCTATGAGGTGGGCCCTGTCCAGGGTCCCTGTGAGGTGGACTCTATCCGGGGTCCCTGTGGATGGACTCTGCCCGGGGTCCTTGTGGATGGACTCCGCCCGGGGTCCCTGTGGAGTGGACCCTGTCTGGCGTCCCTGTGAGGTGGACCCTGTCCAGGGTCCCTGTGAGGTGGACCCTGTCCAGGGTCCCTGTGAGGTGGACTCTATCCGGGGTCCCTGTGGATGGACTCTGTCTGGCATCCCTGTGAGGTGGGCTCTGTTCAGGGTCAGTGTAAGGTGGATTCTGTCTGGGGTCCCTGTGAGGTGGACTCTGTCCGGCATCCCTGTGAAGTGGGTTCTGTCCGGGGACAGTGTGAGGTGGACTCTGTCCGGCGTCCCTGTGAGGTGGACTCTGTCTAGGGTCCCTGTGAGGTGGACTCTGTCTTGGGTCCCTGTGAGGTGGACTCTATCCGGGGGTCCCTGTGGATGGACTCTGTCCGGCATCCCTGTGAGGTGGACTCTGTCCGGGGTTCCTGTGAGGTGGGCTCTGTCCGGGGTCAGTGTGAGGTGGACTCTGTCCGGCATCCCTGTGGGTGGGCCCTGTCCACGGTCCCTGTGAGGTGGACTCTGTCTGGGGTCCCTGTGGAGTGGACTATGTCCGAGGTCTCTGTGGGCCCTCATCTGCCTCTGTCCACAGGAACCTAAGCTCAGCCTCCCAGGCTACTCGCCAGAAAATGAGGGAGTGCCACGGGTTGGTGGACGCCCTGGTCACCTACATCAACCATGCCCTGGACGTGGGCAAGTGCGAGGACAAGGTGAGGGTCAGCTGTACCTGGAGGGTGCTGGGGGCCTCTGGCCCACTCTGACCACAGCCCACCCCTGCAGAGTGTGGAGAATGCTGTGTGTGTGCTGAGGAACCTGTCCTACCGCCTGTATGATGAGATGCCACCATCGGCACTACAGCGGCTCGAGGGCCGAGGCCGCAGGGACACTGCAGGGATGCCCCCAGGAGAGATGGTGGGCTGTTTCACACCACAGAGCCGGCGACTGCGCGAGGTGGGCCTGGGGGGGAGACCCTAGCCCCACCCCTGTATGATCTTAGCCCAAGCGCAGCCTTACCCTACCCAACCCTGCCTGACCTCACTGACCCCTGGTGTCCTCCCTCCCTTCTGCCCAGCTGCCCCTGACAGCAGATGCACTCACCTTTGCGGAGGTGTCTAAGGACCCCAAGGGCCTCGAGTGGCTGTGGAGTCCCCAGATTGTGGGGTTGTACAACCGGTTACTGCAGCGCTGTGAGCTGAACCGGCACACAACCGAGGCCGCGGCTGGGGCACTGCAGAACATCACCGCCGGCGACCGTAGGGTGAGCAGACAGGCCTGGAGGAGCTGAGGGACTGGATAGGGCCGGCCGCGTGTCTGGGCTCAGCCTCTCACCACCCTGCCCGGCACCCCTACAGTGGGCCGGTGTCCTGAGCCGCCTGGCTCTGGAGCAGGAACGCATCCTGAACCCCCTGCTGGACCGCGTCCGCACTGCTGACCACCACCAGTTACGCTCACTGACTGGGCTCATCCGAAATCTGTCCCGGAATGCCAGGAACAAGGATGAGATGTGTGAGTCAGGCTGACCCACAGCCCCGCTTTCACCCTACCCCCTGGCCAGCCCACAGCTCCATCCTCAAATGGCAAGATGGGGCTCCAGGGAGCAAATGGCACACCAGCCCCCTGGGGGACACGGGTGGACACTGAACTCTTGGACTGTCCTGCAGCCACCAAGGTGGTGAGTCATCTGATCGAGAAGCTCCCAGGCAGCGTGGGTGAGAAGTGTCCCCCAGCTGACGTGCTGGTCAACATCATTGCCGTGCTCAACAACCTGGTAGTGGCCAGTCCCATCGCGGCCAGAGACCTTCTCTATTTCGATGGACTTCGCAAGCTCCTCTTCATCAAGAAGAAGCGGGACAGGTGAGGTCCGGACCCACCCTCCGCAGCCCTCAGACTCCACCCCCTACCCCGATGGCCCCGCCCCTTCCATCCGGCCCCACCTCCACCCCTCAGATCCCACCCCCTGTCCCTCGGGCCACGCCCCTTCCATCCAGCCCCACCCACTGCAGCCCTCAGACTCCACCCCCTGCCCCGAGGACCACGCCCCTTCTCTCAGGCCCCACCCCCGTCCCTCAGACTCCACCCCTCAGAGCCTCCACCCCCGGCCCCATCCTGCTGAGCGCCACCCCTTAGAGGCCTGGGAGCCTGGCTCGGCTCTGCCGGTGCCCCTAGCGTCCCCCTGACCACCACCACCCCCTAGCCCTGATAGTGAGAAGTCCTCAAGGGCGGCCTCCAGTCTCCTAGCCAACCTGTGGCAGTACAGCAAACTCCATCGGGACTTCCGAGCGGTAAATGCCAGCCTGCGGGGGTGTAGGGTCGTGGGGGTGTGGGACACAACACAACATGCCACAACAGAGCGATGGAGACCCAGACAGGGCGTGGGAAGCGGAACCCAGGACACAGGGACATGGTCACACCGTCCACTGGGGGACGCACCTGACCCGGCCCCTCTCCACTCCAGAAGGGCTATCGGAAGGAGGACTTCCTGGGACCATAGCCGAGGCCCCTGGAGGAGGGGCAGGTGGTGTGACCAGCTCCAAAGGACACATGGCTCCACGCTGCATGACAGGCCTGACTGGGAGAAGGCTGTAGCCGAAGGGCCTTTCTGGACCTGTGTGTGCACCTTCAAGGGGCCAGCCACCAGGGAGGGGTCGGGGCTTCTGGCTGGGGACTTGGCTTCTGCAGGGGAGGGGGAGGGGCAGGGCTTGAGGCTGCTCTGATGCTTGAGGAGGTGACCAGGACACATTGGCAAGGGGGTAGGCTGGCCACGCAGAGGAGGGTCTGGCCACAGCCCAACAGCGCCTCGTGGCCAGCACCGGGCAATAAAAGTGGCCATGGATGCAGCAACATCAGCCTCCGGTGCTTCTTTTACTGCCTGACCTGGGGGGGACTTAGGGGTCCCTGCACGAACACATAGACACACACTGGCCTCTAGTGGTCACCCAACCCAGGAGAGCTGGCAGGACTGAGAGGCAGGAGTGGGGCCGAGGTGAAGCGGAACTGTGCACCTTGTGAGCAAAGGCAGGAGCCTAGGGCTTCTGAGCCTTTCTCCCCACCCCACCTTCAAACTCACCCAACACCCCTCTGCCCACACCACTGGGCCTAGGTACCCTCACCAGGCCTCGTTCATAGTCTACCTGAGGCTGTGAGTATGCCGTCTCACCCAGAGCCAAGCCGTGGGCACATGGTTATGAGGCTACCGTGGATATTTTCTGCCGTTCATGAATGTTTGCAAAGCTCAGACACTGAGGTCTCTAAAGGTCCGCCCTATCCTTGGGGATCTGCCTGGGGTTGTGCCCCCCACAGCAGCAGGAAGAACCCAGAGGGAGGCCTGAGAGGGCCCAGGATAGAGATGGAGAGGGGGCGGGATGCAGAAGACTTAAGAACTAGAGGGGAAAAAAAGGAGATGGGCATGCGAGTCCAAGGGAACACTCGGCCCAGAACAAGGCGGCCTCCCCTACCACCCTCTTCCTGTTTCAGAAGAGGAGAGGAACGGTCCAAGAAAGATCCAAAAGAACTTTATTTTTCTGACACGTGAATGGGCCCTGGGGCCACACTCTTTCCCTGAGAGGGCGTGGAACCAAGGGCAGGGCAGGGTGCAGCCCTCACCCCTAGAAGTCCCGGGCGATTCTGCAGCCCTGGGGGCGGGGCCGGGGGCGGAGCTACACATCTTCCTCCGAAACCAGGCAGTAGAAGTCAGTGCGGGCATTGTAGTTCCGGGAGCCAAGATCGGATATGTCCACCTCGCAGCTCCGGCCCTCTCCCAGCGCGACCCCGCTTGCATAGGGCAGAACTGTGGGCTCCCCAAAGATAGGCCCTCGGACACCTGGGGGAGGGGGTGAGCCAAGGGTCCTGAATCTGAGCTACCTACAGCCTGCCCTCGGCCCCGGTTCACGTGAGGTTCACGAATTTCCCTAGCACCCTAGGGAGAAGAGGAGGTGCAGGAACCCTGGAAGCCGGGAAGAACTGACAGCTGGGCCCCTTTCTGCCCCCTTCCCTGCGCCTCTCAGGGTCACGGAGGTTAGGGGGGAGCATACCCAAGTCTCCTTCAGGGTCCGGGTCCAATTCAGGGTCCAGAGTCCGAACCTCCGGGACGTTGCCTCTGACTATCAACATGGGGTCCTTGTCGTCCTGAAGCTGGGTTTGTGGGTCCCCTTCCACTGTCCTGTACCTCACCTTCCGCGGGAGCGCCAGCCGCAGCTCTTTCCAAAATTCGGAAGAAGGCGTCTGGGGGTGGGGGTCAGGGTGAAAAGAGTCAGAAGTGTGAGTGAGCCTGTGCACAACCAGGTCCGGTTCATATGTATGACCACAAGAGGGGGGCTGCAAACACGGACACACACACCTCCTACCCCCCACTCCTACCCCTTCTCCCCCAACTTGGATTCCAAAGGGCGCTTTCTGAGGCGTGACGCACGCGATCATTACGCACACATCCAAGGAGACTCTGGGAACCTCAAAGGCGATTCACCTCTCCTACCGAGCTCTGGTAAGGAGCTCTGGTTACGAATCGGGCTGCTAACCTTAATAAGGTCAGCAGTTCGAAACTACCAGCTGTTCCGCAAGAGAAAGATGAGGCTTTCTGATCCCAGAAAGATTTACAGCCTCGGAAACCCTGTACAGGGTCGCTATCAGTCGGAACCGACTCCACGGCACACAACCACAACAACCGTTCTAGACCATGGAACCCCCCACACATAGGGTCCCACGTCATCACCGCCCCCATACTGCACAGACCCTCACCACTAAGGATCCAATGTGGAGGCTCCCACAGCCTCATCTCCTCCTCTCACCCCCGTACCACGGAGCCGGGTTTCCAGAGCACCAAGGTCACTAAGTGGCGATGCTGGCGCAGCAGGTGAAGCGCGGGGTGTGCAGGCTCACGCCTCTGGCCCTCGAAGGTGATGAAGATGGGTCTGCGGGTGAGCTCCAGCAACCGACACAGTCCCTCCCTGCTGGGACCAGACCGACCGTCAGGGTGGACCGGGCCAGGGTCCTCGGGCGCCCTTACCCTCCTCCCCACGAGGGACCCACCGGAAGCTGTGGCTGCACCAGGCCTGGCCCAGAAAGGCGTCGGACAGTACGACAATGAGGCGTCGACAGCGGCTCAGGTTCACCAGGAGATCAGCCGAGGGCTCTGCGAGGAGGATCACAGGGTCAGAGGGGACCAAGGGCAGGGCAAGCGGCGCCAGAGGAAATTCAGAGGTGGGGCCAGGGAGCGCGAAGTGGGGGACGGGGCCTGGAGGGATTGGGCGTGATGGAGGGCTGTGAGAAAGGGAACTGTACCCGCGCGGGGTAGGAGGTCGCCGTCATCTAGAAAGAGCTTGTAGCCCCGATGCCGCTCCAGCTGCGGCTTCAGGATGAAGTTGACGAACTTGCGGTCCTCTGGGCAGTCACTGTAGGACACGTAGGCATCGTAGAGCTTTCCGTCTGAGGACGGCGGCCAGTCAGCGCGGTGCATTCCAGGCCTTGGCCCCATGTCTGGCATCCCCAAACACCACCCCACACAAGCACAGTCCAGACATCCCACAGGGCTTCCTCCCTCCCTTCCCTGAACCAGGGCGACCCCGAGGCCTCCAGGGTACAGCCCCAAGCACCGTTCATTTCCACCTCGCCGTAAGTGTCCTGGTACCAGAGCAACACATTGAGGCGGCACTTTACGTAAAGCAGTGCGGCCAGCAGCAGCACCAGCAGAACCAGGAAAGAAGCCAGCACCGCGGCCACGTGGCCAGGTGGCCCTGGGGAGGAAGACTCAGCCTCAGCCCTAGTGTTCTCCAAGCCCCACGATCCCCAGGCTCCCGCTCTACCCAGTGGACCCCCTCACCTGCTCTCCACAGAGTAAAGGAGGCGGAGCTGACGTTGTGGACAGAGCAGGTGTAGACGCCATAGTCCTGGGCACCGGTCAGGTTGACCTCCAGGACACTGAACATAAACACTTCTGACAAGCTGGACCTGACCCTGAGGAGACCAAGCCCCAACTTCTCAGCATGGGCAGAGCACCTGTCTGCCCTCACCCAGGAGGCCGCCGATTTGAGCTTTCTAAGCAGTCCTGGGACCCTAAACTAAGAAAAGCGGCCGGAACCAAGGAGGGGGCAGAAGGGGTAGAGGGATGGAACAGTTTGGGGACAGTCACCCTAACTCTGGGTCCTAGGAAGTCCTCTGCTCCCAAGCTTAGCCCAGTGGTCAAGGGCCTCATCTGGCTCTAAAACTGTTGGCAATCATGGCCCTGGGCGGTCCCACTGAACCTGGACTAGTATCTGTAAGGGTCACTCCGAGCCCAGAATCTGTCTCTGTGATCACAGTGTGGCAGTCCACTGTGACGCAGGCCGTGTCAGGGGAAGCTATGGTCACTCTCTTACCAGGAGTTTTCCTGGATGCTGTGGTGACTTCCATTGCCCAGTGGTAGCCCATCTTTCAGCCAGTGCACTGCAGGTGGGAGGCAGGGGACCGCAGACTCCACCCAAGCCGTGCAGTTCAGAGTGACTGCCGTGTGCAGAACAGGCCTCAGGACCTGGTCTCCGGCCGGGGAGATGAAATTGGGGTTCCCATTACAGACACCTGCAGAGAGGACGCAGTGGGCCCATGGTGCCCTCCATACCCACCCCCACTGCCTACATCCAAGGAAGACCAGGTCGCAGGGGTGGACGAGTCCAGTGGCCACACCACCTCTGCCCATCGGCCCGACAGCAGGGGCCTGTTTGTGTATTCTGCCTGCCCTGTATATTCAGCATGGGAAGCAGTGGCCAGAGCAGGGTCCGGGTCATAGCAAGCTGGCCCTCCTGACCCACAAGTCAAATTTCTTGTCCACTCAGAACCTGAGCTCAGCCCCCACATTTCTCATGGGCACCCCTACTGCAGGGCTCTGTAGGGAATGTGGGCACTGGTGGGTGGGGACAGTCAGGTGCTAGCCTGCCAGGCCAGTTCACCCTGACTGCAGCTTGAGCAGCCTGGGGTTCATCTTGAAGCCAGGAGGAAGATGAGAGAACACACTGTCGTTTCCACAGAGTGGCCTCCCCGCAGCATTCCTGGATTTCATTATACTCCCAACCCCAGACTAGTCCGGAGGCATTGGGCTCAGGGCCCATCTAACAGCCTGTCCATGGGGGACCCTGGCCAGCCTGAAGCAAGGGCGGCCTTTGCCCTCCAACAAAGCCATGGGAGAAGGGGGAAGAGGCCTGTGTATTCTGTCAGACAAGCAGAGGCCAGGTGAGGGGTGAGCAACCTGAGGAGCAGGAGGTGGGGACAATGGGGAGCCCTCTCTGACCGCCTACCTGCCATGGTTCTAGCTGGGCCTCCAGGGCAGACTGGGCCCAGTGCCACCCCTGGCTCCACAAGCTCCCTGGCCCAAGTGGACAGATCCACCAAGGGCCAGGCGGGGTCAGGGCTCACTCTCTGTCCTCCTGGTCAGTTGGTCAAGGGCTGCCACAGGGAACAAGTTAAACAGAAACAGGATGAGTTAACCAGTAACCTCACTGGCCACTGAATGCCTAACCCCACAAACACCAGTCCCATACAGACCCGCATGGCCTCCCCCACCTCAGGGCTTTCCACCATGAGAGCACCAGCTGAACCAAGGGTCCCCAGGAGAGCAGGGGTGTGACTCATCCCAGCTCTGTCCTCCAGAAAAGGACAAGGCTGTGGTGGCATGAAGTGGGAAGGACCTGGGGACCGAGGACACAGTGACATGTCCCAGACCCCATGCACCCCAATCACGTAAGGACACGTAAGGTCCTGTCAGCCCCTAGAAACAGAGAGGAGCCCGAGGTGTCCAAGGTAGGAGAGGCAAATAGGCCGGGCTTTGGCTGGTGTTCCTCTGTGAGGTGTCACCATACACACCTTATTTGGGGTCCCACACTCCCACACCCCACCCTGTGACCTGATTTGTCACTTACAGACCAGGAGACTTTGGCCAAATGGTTCCTCAAGGGAAGTCCCCACCCCACCCATTGGTGACCTTTCTCTCCTGCAGTGATCAGGGACCATCTCTAGCCTAAGGGGACTGCCCACACCTACGTCTCCACACAGAAAGCCCCAAAGTGAAATAGACCTCCCCCAGGCCACTGTGTTTACTCAGCAGAGGCCTACTGCACATCTAAACCACTCCTTACTAAGTGTACACATGGGGCTGGGGTGGGACATGGGACAAATCAGCCCTGCCTACCCCCCACCTCCAGCCCCGGGTCCCACCTCCAGCCCCAGGTTTGGCTGGGCAGAGTTTCCACAGGAACGGGAGGTTCCTTCGAAGCTGGTCAGAGGACTCTTTCCAGAAGCCTGTAGGGAAGGTCCCTGGACCAGAAGAGCCCTCTAAAAGGGCACTCCCTCTTCAGCCCAGCGTGCTCAAGCCCCAACAGTGCTCCTGAGAGACACAAACCACCAGCCCAGAATGTCTCTGAGCACCTTCCTCAGGGGCCCAGCCCCTGCAGAGGCTGCCTCAGGCTCTCCTAGAAGTCAAGTCTAATCTGCCTGGCCGGGAGCCCCAGGAGGCCACAGGTGCCACTACACTGCAGTGGTGGACAGCTATGCACACACGTGCACTTGTGTGCATACAACCTTGTCCACATGCTCACCTGCACTGAGCCCCTAACCCGTGACCAGAATGCACACACATGCACACTCACACTCTTCCACACTCAAGGCCCACAGGCCTGGCCCCTGACACACCACACACCCCCTCTGCCACACCTTCGGTGTCTCCCAGACACACACACTCACCACATGCATACACCATACTCACTGCTGCCTCCCCGTGACCAGGCCCCACTCTGGACAGGCCATAACCTGGAAAGGCCCACCAGCCACCAGCACACTGATGCCACTGGCGGACAGAGTCACCTGGTTCTAGCTCTTTGCTCCTGGGGGGGGGAGGTGTCAGTCATGCGTGTGCAGTGAGGAGCACACTCCCCCGGCAGCTGGGCCCTCACACCTTGCTCTTCTCCAGATGCAGAGGGACCTGGTTTTGTTTGTGTGCGTTTCACTCAAAACTTTCTCCGTAGCTTCCTGGTGTTGCAGTCACATCCTCTCCAGACCCTAAACCCCACCCAGGCCCCCCACCCGCCTGCCCGCCTGGCTCTTCCTGTAGCTCTGAGTCAGGCGGCTCCTTCCTCTGGGCGCACCCACTTCGCACCTCACTTCCTGCGGAGGGCTGCCTGGGGTGGCGATGGTTGGACAGGGGACGGGGTGGTTGGTGCAGAAGGTTCAGACCTGGGAGGGTAACCCTGAAGACCCTGGAGTGTGGGCTATGAGGCTTGCTTCCTGGACACCCTGAGGTACCACTCTGGAGGGAAGAGTTGTTTCCAATGGCTACTTCTCTGACCCCTGACCTGCCCAGCAGCCCAGGAGAAGAACCCCAGTGTGTGATAAGCGGGGAGCATGGCCCCACAGGACCTCAGCGTCAGTCTGGGGAGAGGACAGATCAGGAAGCCAATCCAACACCCGGCAGAGGCTCCCTGGTCAGAGACTGAGTGAGGTGAGGGGCAGCAGGTATTCCGTCACATACACGCTGACTGACAGCAAGTAAAACCAACAGATGACCTGTGTGTGGCTGTCGACAGACCCTGGCAAGGGTCCCCGCCCTCACCCTCTGGCGGACACCCACCTGTGCAAGCCTTTATCTGGCTGGTCCCATCCCTGCCCCGCCTCTTCAAGGGCCCCATGCCAGGGCCCTGTCTCCTTCTCATCATGTTCAAGACACTTGGGTGACAGGGCACCTGGGGTTGGTGTCTCATAGGTGGATGGACTCCTGAAATGGCCTCTGCTACCCACTTCACACACCACTAGCTCCTAGAGCCACAGCGAGCACCCACGCCCGTAAACCCATCCCCAGGCACAGACCCTTGGAGACCCCCTGCCACCCAAAGACCCTCGCCCCTCTGGATGCATTTCGTTCATGCTACCATCTCCCCAGGCCCCTTCTTTCCCTCCACCAAACCGGGTGCTTCCAAGCTACCACGAGGTCCCAAATTGTCCCTGGACATTCTTCCGTATAGCTCCTCTTGTCACCGTCTGTTCTCCCCAAGGTTCCTAGAAAGCCCACATCCACGGTGCCGGCGCCTCCCGCCCCTTTCCCTGTCTGTCCCCTGCCGTCTCTGACACCCAATCTTCAGCGCCTCCCGCGTCTTGTCTTTCGCCCTGGGGACGTGAGTAAAGGACGCCCGCCCTCTCCCCCCAACCCCCATCCCCCGGCCCAGGAGCAACGGCGAGTCCACCCCACTCCCCACCACACGTTCCTGCTGGGCCTGGGCACTAGGTGGGTCGGAGCTCGCAGATGGCAGGTGGGGGGTGGGGTGGGGGGGTGGACAGGGGGCAGGGCGCGCGCGGCGCGGCGGGGGTGCGGGTGGAGGAAGCTCCGGCCGGCGCCCCAGCCCCTCGCGTTTCCGGATGGGCTCTTGGCTCCCAGGGAGGCCTCAGGCCTACGGTCCGCGCGCCCCTACGAAGGAAGGCTGCTGGACGCCCCTGCGCACGTCCGGCGGAGCGGCCTTGTTCCCTGTCCCTGCTCCCACTTCCAAGGTCCAAGCGGACGGGAGGAGGACGGGCTCCAGCTTCCGGGAGGCGCGGGTAGCTAGCGGCTCCGAACCAGTTCCTGTCGGACCCACCCGCCGCGGTCCCAGCGGGTCCACGATGCGTGGAGCACTCCGTCCTAGGTCTGGGTCCCGAGGGGTTGCGATCTCCGCCTCCCCCGTCCCATCGCGGTCCGAGCTACCACGGCCACTCACCTGCTGCCAAGATCAGGGGCTGGAGCGGGGGCGGGGCGGCTCACCTGGGGCAGGTGCGCCGCGGCAACGGCCCAGCGTCTGCTGGTGGCAGCGACGGCTACAGCTCCGCCCCGTCAGCAGGGCAGAGGGCGGACTCAGGTGTTCCCGCTTTACGCCTGAGGCTGGAGCTCCTGACTGTCTTGCGCTCAGCCCTCTGGAGCTGCGGCTGCCTGGGTACCTCTGGGCAGAGGTCGAACCGGCTTAACCAGTGTCTCAAGGAGACCGGACTCCCGGGAGTGTCCAGCCTTCCGCAGGTGCGTCTGTGCCTGGCCGGCCAGCCCCTCCTTCCCCAACTCCTCCCTTTCCTCCAGGTAGTCTTCTTAGACAACCCCCACCCCCAAACCTGATGCCTTCCTTCACCAATGTCAAGGGCTGGGAGCATGGAACCTCAATACGGTTTCTTCCCTCTAAGGTCCAGGAGGCCTAAGGCTACCACATTCCAGACCCTCCCACTGGGCCTCAGTTTCCCGTTTCGCCCTGTTGTGTTGTTGTTAAGTGCGATTGAGTCTGTTTCGACCCATAGCGTTTACAAGGAGCAGTGGGTGAGTCTGAACTGCCTTGCAGCTCAAACCAACTTTGCAGTCCGGCGCATTAACCTACAGAGCCACAAATCTATCCAAGACTTCACCTCTACACCACCAAGGTGTAAAATGGACAGAAACAAGTTTTATTTTATTATAGAATCTTCTGCTGGATGAGGGGATCTGGGGAGCCCTGAAAGATGGGGGGACAGAGGGAATCAAGACCTTCCACCAGCCGGCATGGTGAGAGACAGAATTGGACCCCAATCAGGAGGCCCTGATTGAATTTTTTACTAGAGAAGCTTGAGCCGTTTTCTTGTATTGTGAGTGCATCCCCTCCCAGCTTTATGGAGGCTTCTCGAGCCCCCTTCCTTCCTTTGCTTCAGAGACGTTCATTTAGGGGTTACGCCCAGTCTAACTCTAACAGAGATGAAATAGGATGCAGGCACGTGCCCCTCAGCCACGTCTTAGCCACCCTAAAGGGCTGAGTAGAACTGCTTCAGATAGGAGCAGACAGCCTGTGTCTGTGGCGGAGTGGAGGACTAGCTGTTGGGTGAACAGCTGACCTTGCAACCCAATGCTGAACCCCGTAGGGCACTCTCTAGTCTCCCAGGACCCCTCTCCACCCAGAGAAGGGCTGTCTCGAACTCCCAGTCCTCACAGCCCCCCCAGCCCTCATGCACACCCAGAGCCTGGGTTAGAACTCTGAGTCAGTCTCAGCCTCTTGGCTTCTCTGACGCTGCTCAGGGTCCCCTACACAGGTGTGCTCCTCAGGCAGGAGCTGGAGGCAGGCGGGGGGCTCGCCACCCCACACTGCAGCTTTTGCCTCATCTTCTCCTGGACTCTCTTGAACTTGCTTTTCAGAATTTCGTTGTTCACTTTCCGAGGGACATCAGGCACAAACCAGGCCGCAATAAGCTTGATGCACAAGGCCACATGCTGGGGGTCAGGAGTCAGAGGTCAAAGAAGGCCAGTGAGGGGTCAGGGCGGAGCAGGGATTTGAGGGTTTGGGATCAAGGAGAAAGACTCTAGGGAGAGCTAGCCGCCCTCAGGGGCCCCTCCCCCAGGTCCTGGCCCACCTCAAAGAGGATGAGGAAGACCAGGCGGATGGCCAGGAGGACCCAGAAATGCTGGGAGAGGTTGTAGTCGTCAGCGTTTCGGTAGTCCCGGTACCTGGAAGAGGGGTGGGCTGGTCAGGAGTCGGAAGGTCAAAGGGCAGGCCAAAGGGGAAAGGGATTCCCACCTGCACTCGGTCACTGTCTCCCAGCCCTGTTGGTCATTGTCGTTCTCGAAGTCCTTGGTGTAGAACACAGACAGGCTGTGGTTGACGTAACCAGTGAGGCAGCTAGGAGGCACAAGGCAGGTATGAGCCACAGGAAGGCACCTCCAAGGTCACACCAGCCCTGTGGAAGGGGCTCCAACCCAGAGCCTGAACCCTAAGGGGCAATCAACGTGGGGCACACTGTAGACACCCCCATTCCCATTCCCAGGGGCCCTTAGGGTCAGAGCAGGCCTGCTGAGGGCCCCCCAAAGGGTCAACTTGGGGAGGGCAGTGGTACTAGAATACCTGAATCCCCACAGCTAGGCTCCCAGGCAACCACCCCAACCTCCGGCCTCAGCCACACCCCGGGTGACCTGGTCAGCACCAAGGACACTTCTTACTCGACTGCAGGCCGGGCTCCCCCCCGGCACGGGCCATAGTAGTACTTGTAGACCACTCTGGGGATGAACTCGGATGTGAAGGCAATGACCAGTCCATTGGTAATGACCGCCAGCACGCCGATAGTCTCCAGCACCTGCAGCCATGTCCCTGGGCCAGAGCAGTGGGGTGAGGGGCCCTGGCCCCCTCCCCGGACTGGGAGCCTGGAGCCAAGGGCAGTGCTGGGCATGCGGGGCCAGCATAGGAAGCCGTTGCTCTAGTTCTACTGCACCTGCTCCTCACCCTGGGGTCCTTCTCCCAGGCATGGACAAGAGGGTCTCCCCCCAACAACTTCTCTGCAAGTTCTCCGGCCACCCTGAGTCTGCTCCACCTGCTGGTCTTCACTGCAGGGCGGGGACCACTCTACCTGGGCCCAATCCCAGGGGCCTCCCACACACCTCTATTCTCCCCACGTCCAGCCCCCCTAACACCTGTTTGCCCCAGCACCTCCTCTCAGTTCTTGCCCCCAGCTGCTGGACACCACCCCTCAGGGTCCAGCTCTTTCCCCTGGACCCCCCTCCTGGCGGCAGGTGGGAAGAGTTTGTTAGAGGCCTGCTTTCTCCTTGGCAGACCCTGGGGAAGGGCTGGGGGGCTTCTGTGCAGAGAGATTATTCAAGGTGCCTGACCCTGGTAGACGGGGGGCCTCTGGGTGGGAATGGCCCCTCACCTATGTCCTTGGCCTTGCGTGGTACCAGGCGCTGCTGAAGTCGTACCATCTTGATGGCGTCTAGGCGGATTTCCACGAGGTTACTGAAGAGCGCCAGCAGCGGGGCGAGCGGGAAGGCAGCCACGAAGATGGTGGTGAAACCATACTGCATCACTAGGGGACAGAGCAGGGTTATCCCCAGGTGGGCAGGGACCCCCCACCCCGTGCAGACCCCAGCCCGGCCCACCCACGCACTCATCTCCATGAACTCATCGAACAGACTGAAGACGGTGACGGGGCCCAGGAGGTAGTTGTGCTGCCAGCCCCTCAGCTCAGGGTCTTGGGAGGCTCGGCCGTACTTGAACCTGCGACACTTGTTGGACAGCCACCTGGTGGGACAGGGCTGGATGGGGGCGGGGAGAGGAGCTGGGGGCCGCTGCCCGGGAGATGGGGATGAGCAAGGGGTTCCCCAGGTGCAGCTGAGAAGGGAGGGGGTCCTCACGGGCTCAGGTACTCCGCACAGTTGCTCAGGGTTTGTTTCAGACCCATGATGATGGCCATCTGCACGAAGAGGTCCATCATACAGCCACTGAGGTGACACTGAGGGACAGGGAGAGAGGGAACAGGTCCATCACACAGCCACTGAGGTGACACTGAGGGACAGGGAGAGGGGACAAGTCCATCATACAGCCGCTGAGGGACAGGGAGGGGACAGGTCCATCATACAGCCGCTGAGGTGACACTGAGGGACAGGGAGAGGGGACAGGTCCATCATACAGCCACTGAGGGACATGGAGGGGACAGGTCCATCATACAGCCACTGAGGGACAGGGAGGGACAGGGA